TCAACCAACACGTTCCCAAACATTTCTGCTATATATATGTCCATTCTTCATGCATTCTTCTTTAACTTATTTACAAATTACCTTAACATTATTTCTTGAATATTAACACTACATTTACAGGCTATTCATACAACATTTATACATTATTTAAAAACTATTTGTACACTATTTATACCTTACTTGTACACTATTTATACTTTATTTATACACTATTTATACCTTATCTATACACTGTTTATACATAATTTATACACTGTTTATACCCTATTCATACAGTATGTTATGTTCAATATTGTATTTAACATGTAGTAACTTAAAATTAAATGTATTGAAACATATTTGCATTTTTAATTAGATAACATGTGTGAGTTTGAAAACATGCAACACTTTTGTGTTTGAACTCGAAGACAATTTTAAGTTGGTAATCAAAGCAGCTAATTGTCCAGTGGTGTCACACCAAAAATGTGTTATTTCGTCATTTTGGCGGCACTTTGTGCCGCAAGCTGGTTTAAAAGTTTTCTATATCAGTACATGTCTGAAGTTCTTATCATGCAGCATTTCCGCTTGCAAAGTGATTGAATAGAAAGAGGCAGCTTACCCAGGCCGTCGAGAGTTGCCTTTTGGACGCAATGGCTTCTAGCTCCGTACCCACAGTGGAGGTTCCTCACACTCAGCTTTCGCCTATGAAGCCAGACAATCAATTGGGCGAAGTCAACACCCCGGACAGAGATGAGATTTCCTTGACCTTGGGCAGGTCACCTCTCGGAGAAGAAGATCAGAAGGGTGAGAACAGTGCCAAGGACGATGTGGATGGAGCTGGCCATGGACATGGCAATGAATCGAAGGAAGCTTCACAGGTTCTTGTTACCCAGGCGTGTGAGAAGGCTGATGATGTAGTGCCTGCTGGTCAGCCTGCTCAGCCTGAGGACGCAGAGACTTCTGCACGGTTCAGGACCTGAAGCTGCAGAGGCTCAATCCCAAATTGTTCGGCAAGATGCCTTCTTGGAAGAGATGGAGGAGGATGCTGAAAGTTTGGTCGCAGCAGCGCTGCGTTGCAAAAAATGTGGCCTTGAACTTCGTCTGGAAGATGCCATTGTCCGTGGCCCGCATGAAATGTGGTGCTGCGAGTGCAATGCCTTGTACACCATGCTTCGCCGCCATCAGGCTTGGCCGCCTGCTGCGTTCGCCGCCTTGTCTGATAATGCTCAGATGGCTTTCTTCGCCAAACGCAAGAAGGACAAGGAAGAAAGCAAAAAGAGCGTATTCAGCTACAAAACAATCAGAAACCACTTGCTCTATACTTTGACTGCAGAGGTCACCCGTCAGAGAAAGGTTTCTCTCCCCCAGCAGAATGCAGGATTTTTGGTGTTTTTTTACACACAAACGCGTTTACACACAGAAGCTTTTGCACAGAAAAGCTTTTACACACAAAGGCTTTCCCGGATTCCGTCCAAAAAGCTCTCCCCCAGCAGAGTGACGGATGCTTGGTGTTTTTTACACACAAACGCTTTACACACAGAAGCTTTTACACGCGCAACAGCTTTTACACGCAGAAGCTTGTACACATGGGGCTTTTACACACAGAAACTTTGACACACAAAAGCTTTTACACACAAAAGCTTTTACACGCAGAAGCTTTTACACACAGAAGCTTTTAGAGAAGCTTTTGCACACAGAGGCTTTTACGCACAGCGGCTTTTACTCACAGACACTTTTACACACAGAACCTTTTACACACAAACGCTTTTATACACAGACGCTTTTACACACAGAAGCTGTTACACACAGAAGCTTTTACACACAGACGCTTTTACACACAGACGTTTTTACACACAGACGCTTTTACACACAGAACCTTTTGCACACAGCACACAGAGGCTTTTATTCACAGACACTTTTACACACAGGCGCTTTTACACACAGGCGCTTTTACACACAGAAGCTTTTACACACAGAACCTTTTACACACAGAGGCTTTTACACACAGAGGCTTTTACACACAGAAGACACAAAAGCTTTTACACGCAGAAGGTTTTACACACAGAAGCTTTTACACGCAGAAGCTTTTACACACCGAAGCTTTTTAAACACAGAGGCTCACAGACACTTTTACACATACACACAGAAGCTTTTACCCACAGAAGCTTTTACACACAGAAGCTTTTACACGCAGAAGCTTTTACACATGGAGGCTTTTACACACAGCACCTTTGACACACAAAAGCTTTTACACACACACTGGCCTTGTTTTGGTCCAGGCCACGGTCTGCGACTACGCCGAAGGCTCATGTAATTAACCACACGGCTATGGCCGGCGGGCTTGCCGCAGCCAATTAAACATATTTCCATGCAATAATTTCCATTTGGCTCCATGAGCCGCATGTATATATAAATATATTTATATATATTATATATGTATATATGCAAATATATGTATACAAATATAAATTTACATTCATAAATAAATAAATATATATAATATTATATAATTATATATATGTTATATGTGTGTATTTGTTGATTTATTTACATGTATACAATCAGTTAGGTACATACAATGGGCAGCGGCTCTTTGAGCTGCCTAATATCAGTTCGGTAAATACAATGGGCAGCGGCTCTTTGAGCCGCCTATGATCAGTTAGATATGTACAATGGGCAGCGGCTCTTTGATGTTTTTTTTCTCTTTTTGTGTGCTGTGAAGCCATGAGTTGCAGGATGTTGTTTTTTAAAACGCTGTTCCATGAGCCGCATGCCTGCAATCAGTCTGGCAATTCGCTTTAGATAGCGGGTCCTTGAATCACTTGTTTATTCATGTTTGTGCATTTGTTTTTTTTTTCTGACTGGTTTGGTGGTGTTTTTTGTTTTCAAAAGATTTGCCGTTCTCAGTTTTCAAAAAAACATTTAACAATGTTTTCGTTTCTTTTTCTAAAATTTGTTTTTGTTTTTAATATCAAAATCGTTCATTTACAAAACATCAAAAAGACTTAGCATACTTATAACTTACTTATAACCAAATTGCCCAAAAAGAGGTGCCATGCTAAGTATTTAAACTTAACTTATAAATTTCCTATGATGTTTATGTTCTTCAAGTTAGTTATATATATATATATGTCTGCTATGAAGAAACCAAGCACCAAGCAGGTAAACGATGGACAAAACCTGTTCCCTTGTCGTGGGCCGCAGCCTCATCTTTGCTGGTGACAGCCTTGGCAATTGCCTGAAGGGCTCTTGCAGTCTCGTCCAGAGTGGCCAGCTCGGCATCTGTGTAGGCACCGGCATGTCTCGGGCGGGCAGCAGCAGCGAAGACCCCCTGCACACCCTTATGCACACCCAGGGGTTGGGCCCCCACGTGGTCGGTACAAGGCTTCCGCGCTCAGGGTCTGGGTGGGCGCTGACGGGGCATTGTAGCCCGGGGGGGTTTTTGTTGCCGGTGTGATTTCTGGTTTAATTGGCGGGTGCCAAGGCCCGGCTCGGCGAGCCCCAGAACAGGGTCTTCCCCAAATATGGCCGCTTCAGCCAGCGGGTATATTCCTCGGTGACCAACCAGACAACGCCAATCAACTCCATGCCGGGCTCTGGGCGGGTCTTTCAAAGCCTCATACAAGTCTCCCGGAACCCCTTCGCCAGCGACACAAGACTGGAAGGCCGTGATTTCGTCATCCCCCTGCAGGGGAGACACAGGAGAGCCGGGGTGTCAGCAGCTGTGCTTGACTGACCCCGAACGCTCCTGCGACTTCGGTTTGCCTCATTTCCGGGCGGCCCTTCGTCGCCTCTAGCAGGCACCGGGGACGGCGAGGCGCCTTGGGCAGCTGCCCGCCTCCCTTCTGTAGGTCGGCCGGCGGATCTGCGCTCTTCCTTCTCGCGATTGCTATGCATCTTGCAGAGACGGAGGCCGTTCCGACTGACCCTCACTTCTTGGTTGCATCCTTCAATGGCGCAAGTCCGCTTTAGAGCCTGCCCCTCGTAGATGGCCGTGCGGGTCCGGTTGGCGCCTCGTCCTCTGACGTCGTCTTGGACGTACCCGGACGTCCACTCCTCTTTGCCGCGTGGCCCGATCCACTTAGGGCGAAACACACGGATGCCATGGAGGTGGGCGACTTCATGCCACTGCCCATAACCCCGTAGATACTTCCAAAGGGCCCATGCATGTTTGCACAAGGGGAAGATGATCCAGTTGAGCGTCCAAACCGCCAGTTGAACCAGGAAGAGCACGATGACCCCCGTAGCTAATTGCAGTAGGACCATTTGGCTGCGAGGCCACTCGACGCGCGAGGCCACTCGACGCGCATAGCGTCCCGCAGTATTCGAACCCAAAAGCGGTAGCATCTGCTATCAAGTGAAGGCTGATTTTAACCAAACACGACAGCCCAAACGGAAAGGCGAAATCCCCTTGTTGGGTGCCCTTACCCTCTCCCTCTTGGGGTCCCGGGCGTGAAGACGCGCCACGGGACCCGCTTGCTTCGGGCGGGTCCGTATCGGACCGAGCGCCGCTCCTGCCGCACCCCGCGGCCCGGCAGGTCGAGTCTTTTTCAGCGGAACCCAACAGGCCAATGCCCCATGTAGTCGCCAGGTGGGAAACGGAGTCGCAGACGCAGACATCAATGTCTACAGGAAACCATTGTTTTTACATGTTTCTACCATGAAATATAGGGGTGTCCTGTAAATTTTCCCATCATCCAATTCTGTGAAGACAGCAAATATAGCAAAAGGCGTCGGGCACTCATAGCGCACCCAACCCCCGGGCCGTTGTAGCCCTCCTAAGCTACTGCTGTGCTACCCTAGGCTTGAGCCTTACACTAGGGGTGAGACAGCTCACTCCCTATAAAAACCCTACGCACGGGAAACCCTAAACGGCAAAAATATATATTATCATACTTAGCAAAAAGACAATGTTGCACATGCTATTTTGGAAAGTGAGTAATTTTTTGCTGATTGAAGGCATTGTTTTTGGAACCACAACAGAGAAGCGGTGCAGAGGAGGAAGCGCGTCCGCCACGGTCTTTTCATCGAGCAGAGCCAGTCCTCTTTCGCGTGCCGCGAGATTTTGTTGGCTCAGCCTCTGGCGACTCACGATCAAAGACCTCGGCGGAGGCACCACTCCTTCTGCCAAGATGGGGAAATCTCAGAGGGGCATTTAGCCTCGTTCAACCCAATCATTTCGACGATCTGGCTCAGAAAAAAAGCCAACTATCAGTCAGTGTAATCCAGTCATTGTGCGTCCTTCCAGTAATGTGTAGCAAAATAGAAGTTTCATCTGATCAAACAGCAGCAGGTCCTCTCAACTCAACGCGTTGGTTCAAGTTCAGGGTCTCCTCCAACCACGCCTTGTTGGTTCTGCGTTCTGCTGCCGGTGAGCCTAGCCCTGCTAGTTCAAGAGGTCCACATTGGCATCAATCCACCTGCAGTCACACCATGTGCAGCTTCTCTAAAGCATGATCTAGTGCAGTCAAGTCTACCTTGCTCGTGCCAGAAGATACGAAGTCAAGTGTTCTTGAGCTTCCTCAAAGCCTTCAGATGCAGAAGCAATGCTTTCAATGTCACTGTCCATCATATAAACTGCAACCACCAAACAACGATTCGTCCGTTTCAGTTGATACGAATGTCTGTCTTGCATACAAGGGAAGCCACACACTTTGGGTGAAAACGGGCAGAAAAAAGAAGACACTTCTGAGCAAGGACCTCACAAGCTAATGGCAGCTACTTGGACACTAATGATAATAATGATACAATAAAGCAATGGACTCAGCTTGATTGTTGGCCAAAGGAACGCGCATCGTACGCACTCCCTAAGGCTAAATGCCAAGAGACTTTGTGCGTCTTGTGGAGCACAACAATTCCAGAAGGCACAGCGGTTGGTATCTGACAGCTGGATCAGAGAGTTGCGAACTAAAACAAGCTTTGAAAGATGGAATGACCAGCGCTTCCTGCAACATGTACAGTAAGGTTCAAACATCTTGGAATACTGCTTGGGTAATCTCATAGTGTGATGACTCCTGACAACGTGCAAAGCTATGTGCCTTGTGTTGGTAGCATAGCGTCTTAGCTGCTTCTTGGTCTCCGTCCAATTAATTATAGTATATGAACACTGATCTCCGGCCAGAAAAATCCTTTAAGTAGTGCAATCATTGCAACACTCGTCTTCCTAGTTTTACCATACTGTCTCTCAGGATATGCCTCCATCAACGAACCAAGCTTACATGTCTTGTGGTTCCAGGATCCTCCGTCACAACACCAGTGCTAACGAGGTGCGGCGCCAAATGTGCAAATCTCTTTCTGCTGAAGTAGCAATCACACGGCTCCGATGGGCTACCTGGGTGCGGGACACTGGCGACAGTCCAGCGCCACCAGTCTGCCACCATTACCCTCCAGTTCCCCAGGTCCAGAGCCAAGCTGCCATTGAAACTAGCGCTTCATCTCCCAGTGCGCGCTGGCGCGCCTCACGCCAAGCAGTAGCAAAGGCAACCTGCAGGAAGGGCCACAGCAGCTGCAGCCATCTGCAACGCATCCATCGGATAAAGAGACTTTGGTATTGAGCTTTAAGTGATGTTTAAGATGGCTTAAGTAAGTCTAAGGCATGTTTCCTTTTGCGGTTTTGGGAATTGCATCCTGGTGTGATGGCAATTTTGTGTAATGTATCGAAAGTGCTACACTGCCTTGAAGCCAGGGTATTTCCAAATGTTCAGGAAGAGCTGACGCTTGTTCATGCCGAACCTTTGGCTGCATGGATGTTTGCAAATAGAAAAATGGCAAAATCACTGGCTGTTCAAATGACAAAAGTTTATGAAGCCTTCACTGCGACAAGAGGCTCTTGCACACTACCGCCAGGAAATCCCATTGGACCGATCCAAAGAGCATCGCTTCGAGAGTTTTCCACATTCCACCCACGCCTTGGAGCCAACTATCAAGTAACTATCATGTTCCATCTTGAATCCATCGTCAACTAATGTCAATTATCATGTTACATCTTGAGCAAATGTTTCTGATTGCAGTAGCTGGCTGAGAAGCAGGGTCTGACATCCCGAAGCAACAAGAAAACGCGGTGGCGGCTACTAGCGGGTTTAGTACTGAATCTTTTGTGGGGGGAGGTCCATGTGGGGGTATTTGCTACTGTAGGGGGAATCGGACTATTTCATGATGCATGGCAAAACACACCTAAAAATAGTGACACTTGCCGCCACAATAAGCGAATTCTTTGCGGAGTTCTCTCTAACTAATGGAGCTCAACTTCTGAGTTAAACATCAATCATGAATCTTCTTAAATTCTCAACCAAATCTACCCCAACCGCTCTAGACAGTAACCTGTATCCGATACTTGTCCGAGTTCATCTGTCTCTTTTGTGCCAAGTCTCACACCAGTTTCAGCCTCCCCAGTGAGCGCATTGGTGAAATATCTCGGCATGCAAGCGAAGTTAAAGGCCAGGTCAAAGTCCCATGGCGCAGCATGGAACAGCACCCCGTTTTTGATCTTTACCTTGGACGGACGAGCTCGGGAAGGGCTGCGCAACAAAGTCGGTCAGTATCATGTCGCAAGAATATCGTTCCCAATTCCCAGCACGTCAAAAACCCCACGGATCTCCGGCCACAGAAGTGTTCCTCGTCACAAGAATTGTTTTCAGGGACTTTCGACTTTCAGCCGTTGAGTGACATAGTTTGAAAAGGCATAACCGTCCACATCCTTCGCAAGCTCTTCCAAGATGAAGTAACGAATAAAGCCTCACACGGTCTGCCCAGGGTCGACTTTCTGAGAACCGTATTGGTAGAGATCCTTGAGATGCTCACTTGGTGAATATGAACTCGATTGAACTCTGGGAAGTAAAAAAGCATAAGACATAGATAGTCAATGATATTCATAGTATTTCAGAATCAATGTTTTCAAAATTCATGGTAAGCAATAACTGCAGTAGTTATATTAACACTTTGACAAGAACAAACAACCACTGTTCATTATCATCATTCTTTCACTGCCGACTAGGGACATTGCTCAACTTTGTAGAGTGATCTGGCCAAGGAGCTGGGAAAGTCAACGATCTTGCTGAAATAGTCATGCTTTGACAAACCGGCTACTTGAAGATCAACCTCATTGATGAGGCGAACCAGAAAGCTGTGTTCCTGCGAGGTCCTTGGTGGCGAGTGCACCAATCAAACCATGTCAAACCAGTCTGGGAAGTCAGGCTACAGTAAACGGCGTACGGCTCGCAGCCAAGGTACAACGCTCCCTTGGGGTAAAGCACATTGAAGAAGGTCGAGGTCACATTGCCTCAAACCCGAAGAGGATAAGGATGGGGCAGTAAATCAGTCTCAGATTTTCTGCAAAATCCTTGTGATGTGTCGGTGGCCCGTGACCAAGCTGTCAAAATCCACACATGAAGAAGTCTTCGAACCGACGACAAGATTCACTGGTGATCTCTACTGCATCCATCAAGGAGCTTTGTATTGCAACATCTCCAGGTTTTGCCCAGTCGATGGTCAGCAAAAAGCCAGAAGCTGCCGGATCTTTGTCTCGGTGGCAAACATCCTAAGGCCAGCGCAAAAAAATATGCTAACTCGTTCACAGATTCGGCTTGTAGAAGGAATTGATGCCATTGCCACTAATTACAAAAAAAACATTCTGAAGGATCGGTTTGTCTTGTGCCAAAGTCATGAGTCATGAGCCTTGCTGTCCAAGAAAAGAGAAACCAGAGAAACACGGATTGTGCCTAGAGAATACGTCAACGCTCAAGACTTCATCCCAGATCCTGTATCGATATACATAATGTAACAAAACAAATGCATCAACCATATCAACATCATGTGCTGCACCTGCACCTGTGGTTGTTTGCATAACCGAAGGAGCATTCCAACCAGAGGGAGCATCACCGCAAGACCCCAATGTTGTAATATACAAAAAACAAAAACACAAAACAACATATTGGGTAGACGGGGGGGGTTGCCCGAATCTCAGGGCCTTCTTCAAGATGATCATGATGCATTGCAATGTGTCAAGATGACTATGGAATCTGTCAAAAATGTCTATTTCGCTATAGCGGAAAGCGAATTTCATGTCTTGCAATGAATCTGAAATCACTGCATCAATCATCTATCAATGTATACCATACTCCAAATCTCTGTCATCTCAACATGCGTTTTTTAACAAAAAGACATGTTGAAAAGAACCCTTACAGGGGATCGCGCGGTTCTGATTTTCTCTGTTCAGGCCGATTCAGTGAGCCAAGTTGTATCCACGTATGCTTTGCTGGGATGAATTTTGTCTTTGACAAAGGCCATATAGCGCACAAAGGCATCCATGACCATTTCAAGTCCCAGGTTTTCGTGAATAAACAAGGCTGACAAACCATCTATGTGCGCCGAATCCAAAGGCAAGCCTGACAATTTGTTGTTCCTGCGAAGCTGCTTCTTCAGATTGGCCGTGTGGCTCTCTGCGACTTGGTCGCCGCCAACCATGGTCACGGAAGTCTTCGACTCCTTACAAGATTTCTTTCCAACACCTTTCTTCAAGGCGGCAAGTGCTTGTGCTGAAATCTTACTCACTCAAGGAATGGCGTGCTGTTGCAGCTGGCACTTTCAATTGTTTGCAAGCAGCAGCGAGACCTTTTGATGCATCGGATCCAACAATGTGCTTGTATGAGATGACCTTCTTGCCGATGACGGGAAGAACTTCTGCAGCAGTCGGGAGGGCCAGGTGCTCCAGCCACCGTAGCGTGGTTGGGCAGAGGAAAGAAAGCTGCCTCCTTCCGTTTCCGACTGACAGCCACCAAGAAACGACCTCCGTGAATCTGCGCCTTTGCAGAAGGCTTCTTGTATGTCTTCTTCGAAGCGGGTCGTTTGCAGGCAGCTTTTGCCTTTGCCGACAGCTTCCTCTTGTCGACAGGTTTCTTTTGAGACGTTGTGCGGCAGGAATCTATCTCCAAAACACCAGGTGCGAAGCCGAGTTTCACGTTTTTTTGAAGCTCTGCCCAAGCCGTGACAAAACGAATCATTTTGTAAATGCCAACCACGTAGTCATGGGACCGTCCAACGATGTGAGCAGCAGAATCTTGCGGCACTTTCACAGATGCACAGTAGACAGTTCTCATGAAACCTTGCATGTCTGGTGCATGGCCTCCTCGCATTCGTGCTAGGAAGGGAGTGTATGCGTATCGCCAGTTGATACCTTGGTTTGGTTGGTCTTTGTTCATGTTCTATGTCAAAACACGCACAAAGAACAAAAAGGAGCTCTAATCTCTTCGAGGTACGAGGTCGAAGCTGAGGACATTTCGAATTTGCGCAGCGCAAAGTGTCAGCTTGATTTTGAACAGAAATCAAACTTTGACGGCAAGCGAAACACTTGCGACTCCAGCGGCTTCCCAAGAATCCTTTATTTGTCAAGTACTTCTTGCAGCGAGCTTCAGTCCAGCGAGACATGGTTGAAAAGTCTGTTTGTTTCAAGTCTCTCAGAGCTCTGTACTTCTTCGTGGCATTCTTTTTCGCACCAGAGAACGACAAACCTAACTTGTGAAATTTTCTATTGACCCCAGAACTCGTCGGAATTGTGGGGCTGGGTGGACGCTTGCGACCATTGGGATATCTGTCACTTCCTAAGGAAGTCTTCATATGAAGTTTTCATTGCTCGAGGTATGAAAGGCTGCAAGTACATAAACAATTTGCAACTTTCTCGTGCCGGTGCATGAAATGTCAAAGCTTGCAGAAGGTTGGAAAGAGAGACTGCCGTGGAGACAAAGCATGTCTACGACCATCACCGTAGAATTTGATATATATATATATATATAAGAAAAGGTGTATATATATATATATAAAACATATTTATATATATATATACATATCTCATCATAAAGATGTAAACATATATATATATATAAAGTCTCAAATTTGAACGGTGAGAACGTGTCAGCAAGATGCGAAATTAGAAGTAGGAACAGACACACGTGATTTCCATTAGAGAGAACCGCAATGAAGCTAGCCAGCCCGTTCCAAGTCGAACAGTGCCTTTTTTCGAAGCAAGGAAGCACGTGTGTGCCCGAGCAAACATATCTAACCTTGACGAAATTGAAAGGAAAGATCTTCCAAAAGGGATGCTCGCTTGGAGCGAACCATCTTCGGCAAATCCTCAACAGGACCGACACAAGGACCTGAGTTCCAGCAAATGCGCTTGCCATTGGCGAACTTGTTGAAGTCGTTGCACCTGATTCGATACTGACCAGCGTGGGGACCCGTTGATGGACAACATGGATGCATGGCTCGGGAACAAACAGAGCATGTGCCCCACTTGTAGGTCCGTTTGGTCGAAGAAGGAGCTGGACCAGAAGACGAACTTGGTGCGGCACGGTCCATTCGCGTCCGTGCAGAAACTGGGCTCTCTGGCATCTCTGGGACATTTTCTTCATCGGACACAAAAATTTCACACTGATACCATCGCTTCAACTTCTTGGTCTGTGGCGAGTCGTTCAAAGCTTCTGGCTCCGCAACCCCATCTGGATCTTCAGCACTCAAAGAAAAAAACATTCTCTCCGTGTTCGGTGAAATGGGTCCAGGTGACCGTGGGCGACGACGCTGTCTCACCGGCGATGTGGCCATCCTTGAATTTTCATCTGCTAAGGCAGCGTTGACTTCTTCTTCACTCCAGTGAAAAGGCTTCCATTCAATGGCTTCCAAGGAACATACCACTGCAAATGCAACATGGGATCCAAAAGGCTTGAAATTGTCAACAATGCTGCACATACACTTTCAGGTAAAGAACGGGATTGGACGCGACGAGTCCACAAGGTCTTCAGAAGAAGATGGCATGTCATGAGAGTAAACATTCTGTACCTCCACCAATCTGTCGACAGAACCACGTCTTGCACAACACCCGCCGGGGAATGAGGTCCAGCAGTGTTGGCCTCAACCCAGAGACTAATGAGTTCATCTAAGTACCGAGGATCACAGGTCCACAAGGGCTGCAAGTCAGCATTGATACATCATGTGTCACGCTAATGAACATGAACGTTAACACTTCCCCCCCACCCCCCCTTCTGTATACCTCAACGAAGAACACACATATAGTTTGGGCTAACACCCCCGTCTACCCAACATATTGCAAAAGTTACAAAGCAAAAAGTGCTCAGACGCACCTGCGCGTTCTTTTCGCAAGAAACTCCCTTCCGGTGAGAGTCTGAGCACAATGCTTCGCTTGTATATAGAATGGAACAGGAAACATGTTTTTTGCATTGTTTTTCTATGCTGTTTCGATTCCCACAACTTTAGTTTGGACATGTTTAAACAACTGTAATCCGACGCAATTTGCACAAGCGCGGGAAAGACACTAGTCGGCCCTGGCCGCACTTGATTCGTTGCCCGACATAGTACAAGCCATAGTCTTGACCTGTAGGGCTTGGTCCTGGGGACCTTGGGAGTTAAGGGATGTTAAAGGCAGACCGGGCAGAGGGATGTTGCCAAGCGGGCAAGCGGTTGCCAAGCGACCATGCCAATCAACGTTGACATATTCAGTTTCGGTGGCCCATCCGCCGAGATGGCGATAAATATCGAAAGCCACAGGGTTCCGCTGAAACGAGGCGTCAACCTGGGCCAAGAGCATGATGACGTAAAGCCGTAACGCAGTAACGCCCTATAGCATGGAGGCCACAAAATGCTGAACAAACAAAACTGCATGCTGCATGGGTGTATCATTGTACATCCTAAACCTGCATCCGATGGCTGCTCTTGCAGCATCGCACCAGTCTTTCTGGGGCAGACAGTTCATCAAGTTAAAATGAAACCAAAGATTGTGAAACATGCTCAAGCAAATGCAAGTGTACAAAAGACGTAGCCAGAACCCAGGTCCTGCAGCCACAAACCAAAGGGGTTTCGCTGCTGAGACTCCATTTGAAACAGAAACAGAAATGCAATTTTGAGGACTGGAGGGTGGCCGGCCCTGCTTCCTGATCATGTCTGACCAGCCTCATGCACTGCAACATACATCAACATGTGTGCTGGACTTAATTTAAGATGATCCGTGCCTTGATCCAGCTTGCAGAAAAAAATCAGGCACGTTCCTAAAACTGCATCCAGGGTTGCATGGTGCCCGCGGCTCCTTGCTGGCGTCATGCCCAGCACAGGGATGGCCTTGGGTAATCGAAGCCCGAATTGGTGCTTCGGAAACCTCAGGTCTTGCATCGGTTTCGACATCTTCAAAGTCAAAATTGTCAAACCATCAATGCAAGGTTCTGTGAACAATTTGAAGCCCAGGCACATGGCCGAAGAATGGCCTCTTGTGTGCATCTTCACGTTGGGAATGATGCGTCCTTCGATTTCCAGCGTGACCTGATGCATTCTGTTCGAAACGATTACTTTTTGTTTGGAGCACTCCCCTCACCTGCTAGCTACCTTCTGAGATTGCTGCTGTTGTTTTTCTGGACAAGGTGCACCAACATTTAGGACATCAGTAAGCATGTTCCTTCACCAATGCTATGCAATATCATGTATATATAATATATATATATGTATGTATGCATGTATGTATGTATGTATGTATGTATTTATGTATGTATGTATGTATGTATGTATGTATGTATGTATGTATGTATGTTTGTATGCATGCATGCATGCATGTATCTGTATATGTATATGTATTTAATATATTGTTTAGACAGGCTGACCCATTCAATCCTTTTTTTCTATGTGCATTGACATACCATACCAAACCATACCATACAATATCATCCATACCATCCATCCCATCCCATCCAGTACAATAAAGCAATACAATACATTACCTGAGAGGGGGAAGCGAAAGCCAGCATCCCATCTAACCCTAATTTCCCCCAATGACTTTGAACCCACAGACTTTTCCCCCATAGAATTTTCACCCATATACTTTTCACCCAGAGATTCTTCACCCAGAAACTCTTCTTGTACATACTTTTCACCCATATACTTTTCACCCAGAGACTCTTCACCCAGAAGCTCTTCTTGCACATACTTTTCACCCATATACTTTTCACCCAGAGACTCTTCACCCAGAAGCTCTTCTTGCACATACTTTTCACCCATATACCTTTCACCCACAGACTCTTCACCCAGAAGCTCTTCTTGCACATACTTTTCACCCATATACTTTTCACCCAGAGACTCTTCACCCAGAAGCTCTTCTTGCACATACTTTTCACCCAGAAACTTTTCACCCACAGACTCTTCACCCAGAAACCCTTGTTGCACATACTTTTCACCCAGGGATTCTTCACCCAGACACTCTTCTCGCACATACTTTTCGCCCAGAGACTTTTCACCCAGGGATTCTTCACCCAGAAACTCTTCTTGCACATACTTTTCACCCATATACTTTCCACCCAGAGACTATTCACCCAGAAACCCTTCTTGCACATACTTTTCACCCAGAGACTTTTCACCCAGAGACTCCTTACCCAGAAACTCTTCTTGCACATATGTTTCACCCATATACTTTCCACCCACAAGCTCTTCTTGCACATATATACTTTTCACACATATACTTTTCACCCACAGACTCTTCACACCCAGAAACTCTTCTTGCATATACTTTTCACCCAGAGACTCTTCACCTAGAAACTTTTCACCCAGAAACTCTTCTTGCACAGACTTTTGGCCCATATACTTTTCACCCAGAGCTTCTTCACCCAGAAACTCGTCTTGTACATACTTTTCACCCATATACTTTTCACCCAGAGACTCTTCACCCAGAAGCTCTTCTTGCACATACTTTTCACCCAGAAACTTTTCACCCACAGACTCTTCACCCAGAAACCCTTGTTGCACATACTTTTCACCCATATACTTTTCACCCATAGACTCTTCACCCAAAAACTCTTCTTGCACATACGTTTCACCCATATACTTTCCTCCCAGAGATTCTTCACCCAGAAACGCCAGAAACCCTTCTTGCACAGACTTTTCACGCCAGAGACTCTTCACCCAGAAACTCTTCTTGCACAGACTTTTCACAAAAGAGACTCTTCACCCAGAAACTCTTCTTGCACATACTTTTCACCCAGAAACTTTTCACCCACAGACTCTTCACCCAGAAACCCTTGTTGCACATACTTTTCACCCATATACTTTTCACCCAGAGACTCTTCACCCAGAAACCCTTCTTGCACATACTTTTCACCCAGAGACCCTTCACCCAGAGACTCTTCACCCAGAAACTCTTCTTGCACATACTTTTCACCCATATACTTTTCACCCACAGACTCTTCACCCAGAAACTCTTCTTGCACAGACTTTTCACCCAGAGACTCTTCACCCAGAAACTCTGCTTGCACATACTTTTCACCCAGAAACTTTTCACCCACAGACTCTTCACCCAGAAACCCTTGTTGCACAAATGTTTCACCCATATACTTTTCACCCAGAGACTCTTCACCCAGAAACCCTTCTTGCACATACTTTTCACCCAGAGACCCTTCACCCAGAGACTCTTCACCCAGAAACTCTTCTTGCACATACTTTTCACCCATATACTTTTCACCCACAGACTCTTCACCCAGAAACTCTTCTTACACAGACTTTTCACCCAGAGACTCTTCACCCAGAAACTCTTCTTGCACAGACTTTTCACCCAGAGACTTTTCACCCAGGGATTCTTCACCCAGAAACTCTTCTTGCACATACTTTTCACCCATGTACTCTTCACCCAGAGACTCTTCACCCAGAAGCTCTTGTCGCACATACTTTTCACCCAAATACTCTTCAGCCAGAAACTCTTCACCCAGAAATTCTTCTTGCACATACTTTTCACCCATATACTTTTCACCCACAGACGGGTCAACCATATACTTCTCACCCACAGACTTTTCCCCCATAAACTTTTTCACCCATATACTTTTCACCCAGAGACTCTTCACCCAGAAACTCTTCTTGTACAGACTTTTCACCCAGAGACTCTTCACCCAGAAACTCTTCTTGCACATACTTTTCACCCATGTACTTTTCACCCAACAGACGGATCAACCATATACTTCTCCCCCACAGACTTTTCCCCCATATACTTTTTCACCCAGAGACTTTTCACCCAGAGACTCCTTACCCAGAAACTCTTCTTGCACATATTTTTCACCCATATACTTTCCACCCACAAACTCCTCTTGCACATATATACTTTTCACACATATACTTTTCACCCACAGCTCTTCACACCCAGAAACTCTTCTTGCATATACTTTTCACCCAGAGACTCT